TTTGCTTGTGCTCAGTATATGTGGTGACGTTGTGATCCACCCTGAGCTTGCTTTGCTTCTCTTGACTGGTCTTGTGACCCCTTGCTCTCCCCCACTTTGCCTATGGGGGTGTGTCAAATTATATGCCTATGTCATAATAGAATGTAGGCTTTAGTGGGGTAGCTAATGTAGGGTATAGTTTTTTGTTACTTGTACCCAACTTTCTCGATAGTGCAACTCACCTTTTCCCTTTACTCTCGACAACAAGAAGCGAAAGTAATGATGAACTGGCACTTCACGTTACTCTGTGACAATCAGAGCGCGATAAAGATCGCGAACAAGCCCGGCTTCGTCAACCGCACGAAGCACATCGCCCTTCGCTACTTCTTCATGAAGGACGAAATCGACAAGGGGAGAGTCAAACTCACGTACTGTCCGACCGGTGACATGGCAGCTGACTTCCTGACGAAGAAACTACCACGACAGCAGTACCAGCACTGCGCCAACCTCTGCGGGATCACCAAGAAATCCTACGTGGCCCACCTTCAGGAATGAACGGGAGTGTTGGAATAACCGGAAGGTTATATAAACATTCCCGAAGGTATTCCACTGTACCAAGTACCGCAATAGCTCATATACAGCATGCGGAAGGTCGAGGGTCACCCGAAGGTCAACCATCGAAGGAAGTCAACGGTCGTGACCCTTGACCATCCAGTAACCGCACGACAGTTACTCACTGCAGCATGGTAAGTGTCGAGCATGGCAATAGTCGTGGTTACTGTAGCTATGTAATACAGTTAATAAGGGAATGTACCCCTCAGAGTACATGGCTAGCTAGTTTGCTATTTAACCTCTTGTACTCCTATATTATAATCATCTTGTTCTTTTTCAATTTACCAACAAGGTCACTACAGAGACTCCATTGTCTCCTCTCAGACTTAACAGATCTTATCCTATCTACTTGATCCTTTGGTTATATCAGCAGTAGGCTCTGAATACCAGGTGTTACGAGTGCAATTGAGGGAACGAACGAAGATTACACTAACGAAGCAAGAGTACAAGCGAAGGCATGAGCGAAGAATATATAGCAAAACTACAGTGGTAACGGTAATGCGTGAAAATGGGGTGCGTGACGGGCCAGGCGTCGAGGTTGGGAAATGACGAGGCGGAGGTCCGGAGCGCGGGTTACCAACCGAACCGTGAGGTTGGGTCGCGTCGTGAACAGTGGCGGGAACGGTGTCGAGGCGAATGTCGCGAGTGGTAACGGATTACTGTTGGGTGCTGTTGGCGGAAACAGTGGTGTACACGCTGAGCAGGGACGCGAAGTAAGGAAAAGGAAATTTCCTTACAGGTGCTGTGATGTGTGGTGCCAGTGGGACATAAGGACGAGAGGAACTTTGACACATGACTATTCTGAAATCAATTCACCAAATAAGCGTCATATTGCTCATTGGAATTTGGAACTAGATAATATCAGCAGCTGCAATATGAAAAATCAAATCAAATGGTTACTGTCATTATGCCAGATTCAATACCGTGGGTACCGACGAGGGGGGCGTGCCGCCCCTCTTGAAAAGGGAACGTGCAGGAAGAAACTGCTGTTCAAAAGCAAGGTGACTTGCAGGTTGATCTGAGAAGGTGTTCAGAAGGTGCTGTGGACAATGGTTGAGGAGAGATCCAGAAGGGACAGAGCACAGTGCCGGAGAAACCACCTAATGGCAAAAAAGAGATGGATGTGCGAGTCATAACCTTGACGTTTCGGCTGCTAGATAGGCCCTGCGGAGGGGAGGGAGGGGTAGGGTAGGCCAGGAAGAGAGTGCAGGAAAGGGCAGGGAAGGCAAGGAGAAGATGAAGGGCCAGAAGAGGCAGATCACACTGCCTGGAAGCCGCCCAATTCAAGAGGACCGATCCACTGTTCAGAGGCTCCTTGTCAGTGTTAGTTGCAGGCATTGGTCCTGCGCCCGTTAGTAGGATAGGGTCCGTTAAGCTCAAGGGGAAATGGAGAAAATGAGAAAGTGCAAGAGTATGGATCCTCTTTCTTCTGATTCAGAAGAATCGTGTCTCCTCTGCATTGGAGGGTGGTCCTAGGGGACAATGGGGTGCCAATGGCAGTGATGGCACACCAGGCAACAAAACGATAGCACAGTCCTGATTCGGTAGAGGCAAGTTCGATACAAGGCACTACTCCCTGTCCTCGCCCCTCCTCAAAAACCGCCACGGGGCACACAGCAGCCCAGCCTCGCCCATCCCCACAAGAATGACCTAAAAGGCATCGTGCCACGCACCTCCTCTCCTACTGCTCGTCTTCCCAAACAAAAACGGCCACGCGACACCCACCAGCCCAGCCTCCCCCAGCTTCGCCTGCAGCCTGTCACGCACCTCCGCCGCGTCAGCAGCCTCTAGTGTGCTGCTGTGGGGATGAACAGGGCGCCCCCACCATGCAAGTCGGTGAAGGCGAAGCAAGCACCAAGATGAGGGGGGGGAGGGGGAGAAGGGGACAGGGGGAGAGGGGGAGGAGGGGGGGGCGGAAGGGTGGAAAGGGAGAGGGGGAAAGGGTGAACCGTACAGTGACAGATGAGAGGGACGTGGGAGACGCCAAAGTGTGTGGGCCAGAAGTCCATGTAGGGGATGCAGGTGCGCAGCTGGGGGTACGAGGGGTGGAAGGGGTAAGAGAGAAGAGGGTAATGATGTTGAAGGGAAGGTGCAGTGCAGCCTTGGTGGGGAGTGCACTCACAACATTGGAGCAGACGTTGGTGTAATGCGAGAAGCAGACGTGGAGCTGGGGAGTGGGGGATGAAAGGGAGAGGGTATGGCGAGGGGAGTGATAGTGCCTGTGTGAGCATAGCGCCCGCGCTGTCTGTAGGAGCCGGGTCGAGCCTGTGGGTCAGAACCTGGAATAGGGAAAGCAGGTGCCGAGTTGGAAGAGAGGATGGGGAGGGAAAAGAGGGAAAACAGAAGTGGCTTATGACGGGAATGTGGGAGACAGTGATGTAGGGGCACAAACTTGTGGGCCAGAAGTCTGTGTGAGAAAATCAGGTGCGGAGCTACGGGGGGACTAGGGGGGAAGGGGTGGGGAAGGGGGGATCTATTGCGTTTGTGAGACGGATGCAGGGAAAAGGGATGTGAGAAATAGTGCTGTTGGGACGTGAGTCTGTGTAAGAGATGCAGGCGGGGGAAGCTGGGGGAGGAAGGGGGAGACAGGGGAAAGAGGTTAAGGGGAAGGGGAATAGGGGCAGGTACGGATAGTGCCTTTGCGAGTACGAGTAATGAGCTGTGCAGTAAAGGAAGATGTAGGGAGGACACAAGTCGGTGTAGGATACACAACTCATGGATGGGATGACGGAGGATGCGCATGGGGGCTGTGTGGAAAGGGGGAATCCGAGTCTGGGAGGGGAGAAGTAGCTGGAGAGGGTACAGGGAACAGCACAGTGGCTTATGTGAGGGATGTGGGAAACGGTGTAGGAGATTCAGTTGAGAGGTGCTGATCGTAGGAGGGGTGGGGGGTGAGGAAAGAAGGTAATGGGTGTTGAAACGGAGGTGCGTTGCAGCCATGGCTATGAATGCAGAGAGCGCAATGTGACGCCAATCTAGGACTTGGGAACAATGCGCCATTTCAGCAGCCTGCAGGTTCCCCGTGAAACAGTGCGCCCATCCCATGTTGCAGGAATTAGAGTTTATGGCCAGAACTTGGTGTGGGAAAAGCAGGTGTGCAGAGCTGATTGGAGGGGGAGGAGAAGAGGGTAATGGGTGTTCAAGGTAAGCTGCAATGCAGCCTTGGCAAGAAGAGCACTCAGCAGCTCGTAGGTTCCCAACAGTGTACCCATGTTGCAGGGGCTTGAACTTATGTGTGCAGGAGGAGTAGGTGCAGAGCTGGTGGTACGAAGTGGAAATGGTTGAAGGAGGTGGGAAGGGGAGAGGAACGGACGGCGCGTGGATGAGAGCTGTGCAATGCCACCGTAGAAACAGAGAATCCGTTGGTGGGGCACACCCTGGCGTGGGAGTCGCAGGGGCGGAGCAGAGCTGGTGGTAAGACGTGGAACACATGGGTTGGGAGAGGTGGGGAGGGGAGAGTAGTAAGGTGGTGCGCAGTGCGCCGCCAGTGACTAAACGGTCTAGTGGCAGGAGTTTGTGCGGCAGGCGCAAGAAGCAGGTGCTGCGGAGCTGGTGGGGTTGACCGGGGAAGACGAGGGGTGGAAGGAGAGGGTATGGGGACGGGAGGGGATGCTGCTGCCTGGATGAACAGTGCGATCGTGCTGTGGGAGGCCGAGTGAGTGCCGTTGGAACGTGTAATTCTGTGAGTCCATGCAGGAGAAGTAGGTGTGGAGCTGAGGGGAGAACGGGGTGAAAGGTGGGGATAACGCAAAGGGGAATGGGAAAGGGGGGAAGAGGAAGGGGTAGTGCCCTTGCCAGTAAAGAGCTTGTGCACAAGTTGGTGCACGTAAGTGGGATACACACATACGAGGCTGGATGGGTGGGATGGGGGGAGGATGCGAGTGAGGGCTGGGTGGGACGAGAAACAGGAATTTGGAGGAGGAGCGGAGGTAGTTGGAGGGGTGATGGGGCTGAATCTCACCTTGCCGCAGCTCCCTCCACTAACTCTCACAACCATCTAGCTATGCAGCCACTTGCAGCGACTCCTCACCGACTGTTCACCAACTGCCAGAGACTCCCTCCGCAGCGACAGCCAGCTACTCAACTGTCCGCTACCCTCCGTCGCCAGCGAGTGATTTAAATGGCTCGAGTGATGCAAGAGATTCCTACCGCCTCGAGACGACTCTCACCTTGGTAATAGCCCGCTTCTCAACCGCCCCCCGGGCCCTTGCCACGGTGCCACCCATCCAGAACACTGACGAAATTGCCCTCGTTCAACACCAGTGGACACCCCAGCTCCAACGCCCTCCTCTAATTGAAATGTCCGAATCCTGCTCGCGAATCCGCACACAAGGTGGTGGAGAAGGAAGAGAAAGGTCAGTGACCTGTGTGATGCATACATGCATGCAGGCAAGGCTGTCGAGGGTGCTTCACAGGAGAGCAGGGTCCGTGGCGCAGGGAGAGACAGGGAAGGGCGAGGGGGGGGGGGGGGGCGCGAAGGGAGGTCGAGGGGAGGGCGAGGGGAGGGCGAGGGGAGGGCGAGGGGAGGGCGAGGGGAGGGCGAGGGGAGGGCGAGGGGAGGGGGGAAGGGGGGATAAGGGGAGGGGCGGACCTGGTCTTTACATGGCGTGGAAGATCGAGAGCACCGCAAAACCGTGTAGCTCAGGCGCGCTGCTTATGAGCCCCACCAGGAAGCGGATAACGTCATCCGACACATAGTACTCCCCTCCCCTGCTTGGCCAGCCACACAGGCATGCACATAGGGAGAGGGCGACGGGGAGGGAGGTATGTGGATGGATGTACATCCGTTAATCAATAGCAGGCGTGAAGAGCTGCGAGTGAGGTGAGGTGAGGGGGCATACCTAGGTCATGACAGGCAGCATAATCTCCACGTGTTACAGCTTGCTTGGCGCGTACCTGCATGCACCACCACGCACATGCACACCTCGCATGAACACGCATCCTCCGCCGCACACACGTGCACATGCACAGCCGGCAGGACACACGCAGCACAGGTTGATGCTTTGAGGTGTCTCTAAAAGGCGTGTGGCGTGCCAGGACACCCGGCGGACAGCACAATATGATCCAACAAAGGTGGGCAGCACATGGGACACAAAACGAGAGTGGAGGGAAGAAGAAGGGAGAGGAGGAGGGGAGGTATGGGAGAGGGGAGAAGAAGAGGAGGGGGTGGCAGGGGCACCCTTGCACAAGGGGACAGATCTTTGGAGGTGGGGTCGGGCTTGAAGTGCCATTAATGGCTGATGGCACAATAAATGGGAGGAGGGAAGGCCGGCAGCACGTGACACGCAAAACGACAGGGGGAGGGAAGAACGGAGACTAGGAGGGAAGCGGCGAGGAGGACAAGAGGGCTTGGGGGGAAAGGGGTGGGGGGAGGCACCGTTGCACGATGACGCAGATCTTGGAGGTGAGGTGGGGCTTGAGGTCGGAGTCAGCGGCGCGCAGGTAGTCCAGCAACTCTCGTGTGAGTCAAGGCCTTGAGATTGCCCTCGTTCACCAGCGCAGCGCACACACCAGCTCCAATCCAACGCGCTCCTGATTGAAAGGTCCGAATCTTGCACGTGCCCCACCATGCATACAGCGGGAAAGGGAGTGGCTGTGAGGAATTGAGCCCCAGTTGTTCCGTACCCCTCAGCTCTCAGCCCTCAGCTCGCAGCCCCAGTTGTTCCGTACTTTGGTTAGATCCACCTTTTCACCTGCCCCCACCCCTGACCTACTCTCTCACCTTGGCAATAACCAGCACATCAACAACAACCCCTGGCTCACCGTCTTTAAGAGTGCATAAGCATGGATCCCAAGACATCTCCCGACGTCTCAGAGGAAAGGCGCCTAAAATAAGACCTAAACAGCATATGCCAGTGCGGGCAGCAGCTCGGCAGCACATCACCTCCATCACCAAAATGTTTCTGACCCTAGCGTGACCCACCTTCCAGCCTGACCCAAGCCAGTCCTGTAAATGTCAAAGTAACAACTGCTGAATGAATTGATAGAAAATGTGAAGTAAAACCCTAGATATAGCAAACCCTAATCACGCAAGTAAGTAGAAATGTAACACCTAGACTAACCTAAACAACACATATAAATATATATGTTGACACACCCCCATAGTCTAGGTGACGGAAGTCCTGTAGAAACAACAAGAGCAAGCAACGGTCACAAGATCAGTCCACAACAACAAGACAAATCTCAGGGTGGAGCTCAAAGCCACCACACACTCCGAGAGCAAGCAAGGGGCCACAAGGCCAGTCCACATGCAGGTATACAGCAAATATAAAGAGATGCAAAAGTACAAGACATGCAGGACAAGGCATCTCTAAGTAAGCAAGTGAGGACGGGCAGGCACAAGGCCAGGCTGGGTGCAGAAACACTGGTGGTCACAAGGCGGCAACGCCTTGGTGAAGATATCTGCCGTGTTGGCCTCAGAGACCACACGTCGAACGAGTGCCTGTCCACGCTGCTGCAACTCACGCAGAAGGAAGTAACGAAAATGGATATGCTTCGCCTTCCCAACCAGTATTGGCTCCTCACACAACAGGACAGCAGACCTGTTGTCGGCGAACAAGACTGCGGGAGAGCGAGGCCGCTCACCAAGGTCGGTGAGAAGGAAAGCTGTGCAGTCTGTGAGGTCGCACCCGAACCAGCTAAAAAGGCTGGTGCTAGACTAGTGGTAGCTGCAGCTCCTACACAAAGACCCTCAGAGGCGCCTGGACTGGAAACAACACACGCACCAAGACTGGAAACACAGGTCTCTGCTCGTGCAGCAGGGAACGGTCCTAGACCAGGTAGGTGAGACGCAACCGGTGCAGTAGTGCGGTGGCGAAGACGCGAGGGCCAGTGCGGTGTAATAGTGTGAGGACCAAAACGCTCACGGTGGAGGTCGTCGAGTCGACGGTAGCAGCTGGACGCAGTGTGGTCAGGACTCCAGCAGGTAGTGCCAGCACTAGGGCCTGTCAGGGCCCGGTACCCGCAGGGGCCGACGTCTCGCCCACTGCTAGCTGAGCCACTGCTGGGGGCGCCACACTTTGGACCCGCAGGCCCCCACTGACGGGAGTGCTGCGGCTGGCCTTGCTGCTGTAGAACCCTAGTACATGCCATGTGAGCCTAAGCTGCTGCTGGTTCTGCCGGGGGGGGCAGCCTAAGCTGCTGCTGGTGCGCTGGAGGCAGCCTGTGCTACTTCTGGTTCTGCTGGGGGGCAGCCTATGCTACTTCTGGTTCTGCTGGGGGGCAGCCTAGGCTGCTACTCATTCTCCAGGGGGCAGCCAATGCTGCTGCTGGTGCGCTGGGGGCAGCCTATGCTGCTGCTGGTTCGCTAAGGGCAGCCTATGCTGCTGCTGGTGCGCTGGGGGCAGCCTAAGCTGCTGCTGGTGCTGCTGGGGGCAGCCTATGCTGCTGCTGGTTCTGCTGAGGGCAGATCTGGCTGGGGCAGCTGGGTGGGGCAGCGGGTGTGGTACTGTGCAGGTCAGTGTGGTGCAGTGCGATTCAGTGCGGTTCAGTGCGGTTCAGTGCGGTTCAGTGTGGTGCAGTGCGGTTCAGTGCGGTTCAGTGCTGTTCTGGGCGGTTTTCAGGGGTGGGACGGCGGATATGGTGCTGCTGGCGCCGCTAGCACAGTTCTGGCGGCTGCTTTCAGCTCGTGGGACGACTGGCTTCAGGTGTGGGGGACGATTTCAGGGTAGGGCGGCGGTTTCAGGGGGTGGGGGACGGTTTCATGGTGGGGGGGCGACGGTTTCAGGCGGCGGTTTCAGGGGGACGCGACGGGACTGGCGGTAGGGCGGCTAGACAGGCGTGGCAGCGGGTGGGGCAGATTCTGACGGTGGGAAACGAGCAGGACGCGATGGGGGAGGGGGGGACAGGGGCGCGACGCGGAGGGCGACTGGGATGCGGCGGTGAGGGGACGGGAGGCGACGGGGGACGCGACGGGGACTGGAGTGCGACGGAAAGGGGGGGACGGGAGGCGACGACGCGGAGGGCGATGGGGACGCGACGGTGAGGGGATGGGAGGCGACGGGGGACGCGACGGGACGGGAATGTGACGAAAAGGGGGGGACGGGAGGCGACGACGCAGAGGGCGACGGGGAAGGGACAGGGGGCGACAGGAACGGGACGGGGTCGCGACTTGGGGGGGGCGACCCGCGGGGGTCCCTTCCTAGCGCGATGTGACGTGCCCGCGGGGGCCGTTTTAGGTCGTGACGCGGGGGGGACCCGCGTTGGTCCCTTCCTAGCGCGATCTGGCGGGCCCGCGGGGGCCGTTCTAGGTCGTGACGTGGGGGGGACCCGCGGGGGTCCCTTCCTAGCGCGATCTGGCGGGCCCTCGGGGGCCGTTCTAGGTCGTGACGGGTGACGGGCGGGGCTAGCGGGCTGACGGGATCGACGGGGAGGGCGCTACGGGTGACTAGGCGCTACTCGTGACGAGGCGCTACGGGTGACTAGGCGCTACGGTCTAGGTCAGGGTACCGGGCGGTGGGCCCATAGGATCTTATCGCTCTATACCATGTCAAAGTAACAACTGCTGAATGAATTGATAGAAAATGTGAAGTACAACCCTAGATATAGCAAACCCTAATCATGCAAGTAAGTAGAAATGTAACACCTAGACTAACCTAAACAACACATATAAATATATATGTTGACAGTAAATGCCCCCTGAGTTTCTTTGGGGTCAAATTGGGGTTAGTGGTCAGAACAGGGTCAGTTCTGGGTCAGTGAGTTTTTTGACCCAAAAGTAACCTGCCCCGCACAGCCCTTGGGGATCTGGAGATGCGGGTTCGATACTTGTCGTTGGCAGTTCTATACTCCAATTTTTCTATTGACTTCGAAACTTATAAATCGTAAGAAACAAAACGTTGAACGTCTATAGACGCGCTCAGCGAGATACTACCTTCGGGTCAAAACTACAACGTTGAACCACTATGCCAAATTCTCACAACACAAGGCCGTTTATGAATTCCCCAATAATATTATTTTACGACAAAATCAAATCTGGCTAGGGTTTCAATTTCCATTGTCCTTCTGGTGGTGTTCACCAACCTCACCTCACAGCATATATCCTTTCACTTCCCGACATTTCGCATTTAGATCTACCTGCTCCAATGTTAAATCTTAGAGATTTCACTAGCCCTTCCCTCTACCCTTAGGACGCGGCACCTCTAGCACCATCCTGCGATCGATCCTGCGCAGGATAAAAAATTTGAGCAGTTTGAAATGGTGCTGAAAGCTGTAAATGCTTTCAGCAGGTTTTTATCGCGGTGGAATCACCGATCCTGAGATCGATCGTGCAAAATTGCTAGAGGTGCCGCGTCCTTAGCTACCTTGAGCGCTTTCTTAAAAAACCCCTACCCCGCCCTCTTTCCATTTCTATCTGTCCTCATTGCAGGCTTCGATTACTATCAGCAACAGCTACTTTCTAGTCGTCGTATATGCATCTCGAGGTATTGTTGTGCTTCCATTAGTTTGTTTTGCTTTAATTTCATGGCCATACATGTCATGTCATGTGTGTTAACGTCTGTCCCTAAGGAGCGTAGGATGGGCGCTGCTACATCGCGAGCAGCTAAGGGACGGACGGGCGCTGCCGCAGTCGCGAGCAACTAAAGGACGCAACGGGCGCTGCTACGTCGCGAGCAGCTAAGGGACGCGACGGGCGCTGCGTCAAGCATTCAAGGGACACGACGGACGCGACTACGTCGTGGCAGCTTAGGGACGCGCCGGGCGCTGCAACGGGCGCTGCGACAAGAGCCGCTAAGTACGCGCCTTACTGCTATTTCCCATTGTTAACACTCGGTTTTTTTTTTTTTTTTTTTTACAAGTTTACGCTTCTAATCGATATTATTATTGCTTTCTATTACATGTACATTTGTGTGGCAGGAAGCAGTGTCATCTCTACATGTGAGATTCACAAGCTTGTTTCACAAGCTTGTTTCACGTTGATTTTATGTGCTGAATATTTTGTTGTTTTGCTTTATTTTTACGATTCCAATTCTTTTTTATTTTTGCTTCCCGATATGAACCTTTCTGTGGCAGAAAGAGAGTATCATCACAGGGGGCGATTCTTCAGTGACAAAACGCTAGTTAAATATGGTGATTCATTTGAATTTTTAGCGCTGATGTTATGTCAAAAAAATATACCAACGCGAATGTCTCTTCGCGCGTCCATCAAGAGAATTCTGGCGTCCCGAAGGCGTTCGTGGCAGGAATCACATCAGTGGAAATGCGGATCTCCGTTCACCGGGATTGACCTAGCCGCAGCAAGGTGGATCGTGACCGGCAGCGAGCGCTGACTCAAGGCACCGTTGAGGCGAGGACGAAAGGGGGAGACTACGGGCGTGTGAGAGCAAACCAGGATTCGTTATTTAAAATTCGGGATTCGGAGCGACTTCGAATTTTTGAAAAAGTCTGCTGCTGCTTGTGAGAAGCTGTGCGCGCTCGTTGCATCAGTGCGCGGCGAGAGAAGCGCCTCAAGGTACTTGAGGGTTATCGCCTGGCGGTTTCTGTGCCGCTAGCAGCAGATGTGGTACTACTGAAGCCCATGAATGACAATGCCATTGTCTTGGACAGTGGAAAGGAGCAATGCTGCCGTTGCACTCTCGCTTGCTCGCGTCGCGTGTGAGAGTTACTGAGGTTCTAAATTTTATCGCGTACCTGCTGAGCAAGTCTTAGGGCGCATTCTTGCCTCGTGTCTGACATGAGGTCAAACACGAAGTGAAGTTGAGGAAGACCCAAAGTTACCTGGAACTCTGGCAAATCAATGTTCGGAAGACCCGAAGTGGGCCATTTCGGGTCTTCCGAACCTCCATCCAAACCTCCACTTCG